TGGAATTTATTACTTACAGAAAGCCCTACAGTCATGAACTGTGTGCTTTGTATCTTTCAGAGCTATATTTGTATAAAGACAAATAAAAAAAATGTAGTTCCTTCATAATGAGGAGTGTAGGGAGTTTGATCTCTGAGAATAATAGTAGCCTTTCTCTAGCTCTTGAAAGTGACTCAGTAAAGATTTTGATCTCTATATTGTAAATTTGATATCCTGTGGATCTCCTCTTCACCTAGCCCACTGAGTCTACTGTTATATTACATCTTTCAAGCTTAATATTACTTGATTAAAAAGCTTAGGGTTTGGGGGGTTGTTTGTTTGTTTTTTTGCTTTTCTATGTCATCTTCCTATGTCTGGTTTAAATATTATTCAGTGATATTTGTTGTTATACGATAGTTTAATTATATTATATATGGACTTTGTAATGGATGCTGCTTTTCTTATATTTTTGGAACCCCTGTTTTTATTTAAATAATATGAACCAGCTTTTAAAGACTGCATTTGAAAAGTAGCAGTGCTCATGCTCATGTGTCTTCCTCATAAGCTGTCTGCTCCCAGCTATCTATTCAGTACCAATATTTAATAAGGTTTTTATTTTCTACTTAGTCCTTTATCACAAAGGGCCTATGTTTAATATGTCTGCCTACTTCACCTGAATCAAGTGGTGCTTCTCCTCTTTTGTTCTCCATTCTGCTCTGCTACATCACATGCAGGACAGAGAGTTAGAAGAAACCTTTTGGGTCCAAATCCATTTTTATATCACATGCAAGATATCTGTTTGTAAAAGCAACAGACATCTCTCTTGTTTCTGACTCCCTTTAAAACAAATCTCTTTATCTTACATTTATCTAAAATTAAACTTCTAAACCATTTGTCCTTTAGGGCCTTGAAATATCAAAGAACATAGAATCATAGAAAAGTAGGGCTGGAAGAAACCTCAGGAAACTATCTAGTCCAACCCTATGCTCAAGGCAGGATCATGCCTGTATAAGCCATCTGTTTATTCAAACTACTCTTAAAAGCTTCCAGTGATGAAGATTCTACAACTTTCTAGGTAAACGGTCCCAGTGCTTAACCACCCTCATAGTCAGAAAGTTGGGTTTTTCCCCCCTGAATATCCAGCATAAATTTTCGTTGTTGCAATTTAAAACTTGTATTAATTGTCCTTTGTGGACACAGAAAAGAATCTATCACCATCTTCATTATAATTAAAATAAATCTAGCTACAAACTTTTATGAGAGATTACTTTTGGTTTTAGAATTGGGCATGTACTTAAATATCTTACTGAATTTGGACACATACCCCTCATTTTCCTAAATCTCTCTGAATACTATTAGTTTCTCTAAAATATTTGTTTGCCTGCCTAGTGTGAAGTTCTGCAAACCTGAACACCAGGGAAGTGGTATCTTGCTCATTCATTATTATTTGTTAAGCTCTACCTAACAACCAGGCCAAATTTTCCACTTCATGACTTCCTGGGGCCTCCCTTTCTTTGATATTAACCTTGTGTTTTCTTTATTTCCATTCTCCAAAGCCTTTCACATTTTCAGAATTGATTAAAATCTCTATGCTTGGACTAATGCAAAATTCCCATCACATACTGCACAACAGTTCTGTCTGTATTTAGCAATGTGAATTTTATCACTTGTTTTCAGGTGATGGTTAATGCCCTTAATTTTTCACTTTCCTTTAGAAGAAATTTGTTAAGTTGCTGTTCTGGATTTTCTTATGATTGATATGGAAATGTGTTTATTTATGTAAATGTGTTTATTTACTGCGGAGTCCTGCTGTTCCTCAACAGAGGTGCATGGGAAGTGGTGTCTATAGGACAGATAGTCTGGGTCTACTAACCGGACAGACCCAGGACAGATGGCCTGGGTCTACTAACAGAGAATAGCATGTCTCCTGGAAAGTTATGGGGGAGCTCAGGAATCTGCTCCAAAAAAAGAGTACTAATTTCCATTTCCACCCTCCAAAGTCTTACAGGCTCTTGGGGTCAGCACATAATAGTCATATACTGTGGTAACGAAAGGGGTATAAAAACCAGGACAGACAGAAAATTGCTGTGGCTGAACATGCCCCATTGGTCCATGACGTATTCACAGTTTTCACAAAAACATATTAGGGATTTACTTTATCCTACTGCTGCATATGTGCATTGAAGGAGGAAAGGGGATTTTTTTTCCCCTTAACTTAAATATGCCTCTCTGAATGAGTTAGTCTACAAGCTGTCCACTATCCTGCATTCTCCCTAACTTCAGCCTAACACAGGTAACTTTAACTTCCTCTCTTTAAATATCCTGTTATGAAAGGGAGGGTAGGGGAAGAGAAAGAGAGAGAGAAATGCTTGTTATACTTAGGCATACAGGAAAATAGCAGACAGTGGGGCTTTAAAGAGCCAATACCTCAAATACAACTATTCCTGAACACTCACAGATGTCTCCCTTTCCTGACATGCCCATCAGTCAGCAGCACCAGAACCTCATTTTCACAAGTACACCTGATCTGCAGACATGGGAAACACCACATTTACAGGCTCCCCATTATTTCAAGGTTCAGTGCCCAGTTTTTGTTTGTTTGTTTTTTTGTCTTAACTGTACTGCATTATCACATGCAAGGCTTTTGAAAAGATCATGATTTTGTTTCAGGGCAAGACATGCTGCTTTCACAAGGAAGGTAACAATACTGTGAACTAACTATCTTCAGAATTTTAGGCATTTGCTTACAGGGGCTTGAAGGAGCGGGCGCTTATTCAAAGGGGGTGCAGAGATAAGGATCCCTGTTATAGGAAAAAGTAGAGTAGGAAGACATAAATGGATAATTTTGCAGCCTCCTGCAAGATCTTGAGAAGTGAGGAGGTTTTTGATGCCACATCCTTTCCAGGGGACAAATCCTAATGATTATAGAATGGAGGATTCTCTAATGGTTCTCTGTGATTCTCTAATCCTGTAGGTGTCCTCTGTGGAAAGGATGTCAAAGCCTTAATGCTGCTCTGTGGGACCCCCGTGTGCCTTAACAGTCGAGTTCAATTAGAAGCCATGTCAGTCATGGTCCAGCTATAGCAGTGCAATATGCCCTCCCAAGAAAGGGGAATGCTACAGAGAAGTTATCGTGGGGTACATTGATTTTCCCAAGACTGGCAGGTTTCATGGATTCTTAATATAAAGGCAAAAGAGGAAATTCCTTTAGCTTCAAAGGAGAGGCTTAAGAGTCAGTCTCTGAAAATATTTTTGTATGGTTACTTGCTCAATTTGGCTGTAATTTGTCCTAATTTCATTCCCACTGTGCCTTGCGTTGCTGTATGCCTTCAGAAGTAGAAGGAAAAAGTGCTTGTAATTAACACCACGGTGAATTATGTGCATTGTGTGCCAGGCTACTTCTCCTGTACTGTGCTCTTTTACTTGGCCATTCTTCCTGTATGAGTGGTTTATTCATCTACTTATTAGAAATACACAGAGTTCAGCCAGCATTGAATCCTGTGGCTGGGAATACATTTAAGTGGCAGGGTTTTGCTTGTTTTCCTTGTTCTGGGCTCAAATCATTCAGTGCAGTCTCCACAGTGATTATCTTCTCAACAGTGAATATCATTAACTGAAGCATATTTGTTTGTGCTAAAAAGTCAGACTTCAACATAAACTTGGAAAGATAATTCCTTTAACAAATTATTCCAGCCACCACTCAACAAAACTGCCACATGATGACTCTAGGCCAAAAACATTTGATGTCAGTACTGCAGTGGCTGGACACAGAAGCATACTCTACCAGTCTGAGGACCAAGAATGATGATGTTCTAATCCTGGCTCTGTCATTTGACTTCTGTGGCTTTATATGATGAATCATTTAACTTCTCTTCTTCTCTGTAAAACTGATATAAAATGTAACTTCTCCACAGAGATGTTGTAAGAATTAGTTTATGGTATGATCTTCCACTCTTTGGGCATCCAAAACTCCTATCAATTTCAATGAGTGTCTGGAATAAAAAGAATTTCACTGTCCCCTTTGTTGTAAGAAGCTTTGTAAATGAACAGTACAATAAACACTATAACATAAGTATTATTAAATGCTACATTCTTTGCTATCATCTGCCCCAAAATATTTCAAAACAGATGCAAAAGGGGCATTTTAAAGGAATTGTATGTGCAAATATGAATCAAGCCAGTAATTCAGAAAAACTGTTTTACGTTTTGAAAAAAAAGAAGTTTTCATGGGTAATAGATTAAAAGGATGCTTTCCAAAAATGTGGAGTAATACTTATCTTCTTACAGGGTCACACAGGTTTGAGGGAAAACTTCCACATTTTGTCAGGTTTTTTACAAGCGTACTGACCCTTGGCTACATTTTCAACTTGGAGGCTCAGTTTTGTATTCCTTTCACACAGGCAAGACACCTCACTCTGCAATTAATAGGACTTCTGAATGCACAAGGAATGAGGGCTCAATGTTCTAATTTTTTTTTTATTTGCTGTTCAATTAAATAGGTAAATCCATAATGTTTAAATGACTCGCTGGAGAATAGTATGTGGTTATCTGGCTGCATTTAAGCAGAATAAGTCCCATAATATCTTTTTTGCTCTGTCTGATGGGACTCATCTGAAATACATGTTTAAAACTTAGCAAGAATTACAATGTCATTTGAGTGATAAAGTAGTTCTTTATTCTTAAGGTAATAATATTAAGAATGTGTTTTATTTGTTTAAATTTAATCTGAGATTGTACATAAAGTCTTAGATGTTATTCTCAAGCTCAAAACTCAAGCTGTGTTTAAAAATATGACTGTTGATTGCAAGCAGCCATTTCAGCCCTCAATCATGTTCTTCATTGACTTGTCTAATAAGCTTTACTTAAAAGGGACAATATTGTGAATCAATAAATATTCCCATTAGTAACACAATTGCTACCAAATACTTTTGAGGAGACAGTAAAGCTTTTTATTGTTTATACTTCATTTTCAGTTACACATAGGAGGAACACTCAATGCAGTTCTATCGCAGCAGGTGGACCATGTTCTGAAACTCTAATTTTGACTTGCTGGAGTTTAGTAGTGCTTTAAGGTCTTATCAGAATAAAGGGGGGAAATGAAATAAAAAGATAATGGGAGAAGAGCAATTTCACTCCCAGGTGCTTATTTTGATGTGTAGATATTTGTTTTGCAGGTGATGTAGCTCTTCTGAAAGAGCAAACTGCTTTGTTTCTCTACAGAGCACAACACTAGATAATAGAGGTATTTCATAAGATTATGTAGTCCTTGGTGTTCCATGTAGTAAGGGTGTGCAACTGACACAAAAATGGAAAACTTAAGTTACAACATCAAAATGACTGCTCCTATTCCCAGCTGGTTAAAGGCAAAGGTCACAGGACTTCTTTGTTTTCCATTCCTGGACTGAGTGGAAGCAAGAAGTATTAATGTATGAAGGTAATGATGAAGACAGTCAGCCATGTGTGTGCAATGCAGATGAATGTGTACAGAACTCTTATTACAAGATTACTTGCATTTGCCTTGTTTGCAATCCATATATAATCTGCACATTCCTACCTCTCTCTCATATTCAGCTGAAGGAGTTCATTTACACAGCGTACTGCAATGTTCCTATTTTTAAAAATGTCCCAGTTTTCCTCCAGGCCCTGCAAGTGAAATTAACAACTCTTTCTGCTGAAAAGAAGAAATTACAAGTGCACACATAAATACAAATATTCTAATATTACACACACAGTAACTGTGCTTTTGTGCACACCCCTACAACTTGCAAAAGAATAATTAAAAAGTAAGCCTGCAAAATAAATAGTTTGCTCTCCAACTTTTTTTTCCAGCCCAGATGGGTTATAAGCCTCCGAACTCCAAGTTGCCCTCTGTTTTGTTTATTTGTTTGCAACTGATGTGTGTGATTATATTTGAACAGCATCTCTGCGACAGTCATTACACTGAAATGCAGGGCTGAACAGTTTGGTGGCAGAATGTATTGACGTTTTTGCAGCCTCATGAGTCTGACAACTGGGGTTGGGGAGTTTCAAGCCGTGGGTCTTTACAATAGCAACTTGATTCTGCAGACAAAAAGGAAGAGATTTGGAGAATTATTAAAAGTGTCACAATAAAGACAATAGATATTCTGCAGAAAAGTGCACTGAAGGACAGATATCACAGCACATGCCAAGTTATATGTACAGTTAGATACAGCTTTTCAGCATGAGAAGTAAGCAGTTGTCTGAGTGTGCTGGCATGATGAATCCCTTTTAGTCTTTTTGTTAAACTGGTTTGTTTCATCTGAGCTCCCTCCTCCAGCCTCACCCTCTGGACTGAAAAGGAATCTGGGGAGTAGCAAGACTCAGGATATGGGTGGGCAGAATTTTGAAGTCATGTTTAAACTGCAGCCTGATCCAAAGTCAACAGAAGTACATTATTTGCCCTGGATTTCTGTAGACTTTGGATCAGGCTTCATCTGCACAATAAAAACAAAAAGTTTCCTTATCCCTCCATCTCCAAAAGTAACTCCTCTTTCCTGTCCTGAAAGGTGGAAGTAGGTGAGACTTATGCTAGACAGCAGTAATCTCACTGTCATATTCATTGGGCATTATATTCTATGAATGGCACCTGGCTATCTAAATATTGCCCAAAGACCTCTGAAGTTTTTTGAGCTACACCGGAAGTGCTGAAGTTGACTTTGCCTTGGAAAAAAATTGAAAAGACAGGCCCATGCTTGCGTTTCAGTCAATGCTGCGTAATGGAGCGTTACAAAGAAGAAAGTGATGAGCCACATGGACATTCTTATTCTCTTGTCCTGGGAAAGGAAGGTACATAATGCTGCATCAACAGAGGCTTTGAGTGGGTGTGTGGTGCTGCCAATCAGGGCAAGAGGAAACACCTTGCCTTTGAAAAGTCCTGCACAGAGGGTTGCTTTAATACGAGCCACTGTGATTTTTAACTCTGTTAGCTGCTGTTGGGAATTTACAGCTGCTTTCTCTCTCTCTCTCTCTCTCTCTCTCTCTCTCTCTCTCTCTCTCTCTCTCCTCTCCTTCCTTCCCCCAAACACACTGAGGTTAGAGAGCAAAAACCAGCTTTAAAAGATGAGGGTTGCTAAACACTAATTGACCTGGTTTCATTAATTTGTTGGAAGGGCACTGGATTGTTGCGAGTCACTTATCAAGGGCCCCCGATTAACTGTAAAAATGTCAGGAGCGTCGCGATAAAGAAATGAAGGCAGTTTGCAGCCTTTGGCCCCGGAGCGCTTCAGGTTCCTGGGCTCTGTTTGATGCAATCGGACAGGGGCTGAAACAAAAGCGAGTCGCGCATCTGCAGGGAAAACAAGGCAACCGGATCGCTGCTCTTTTTCAGCACCCCACTCCCCTCCGCCCTTCCCCACGCCCAGTGCCGGGGCTGGGCAGGATCAGCCCCTCGCTGCCGGCTCTTCCCAGCACCTGGGAGCAGTTTAAAGCCCTGCCTGGCTCACTCGTCCCCCTTAAAACAGTGATCGGGCGGGACAAGAGCGGCGAGACGCGAGACTTGCTTCCAGCAGAGGCGGCTGATGCACAAAGTATCAACTCCGTCAACTTCAGAGCTGGTGGAGAGCTCCGGCAGCTGCCCAGCGCCTGCCCTAGGGCCGGTGCAAGAGGCAGCAGCCGGGTCTCCAGAGGGCAGTGCCTGCTGTGGGGTGGGGAGAGAAGCCATGAGAGCCTCCCCAGAGAAGCCGGCTGACGGATCCCCTGCTCCCAAGGGCAGCTGAGGCCGGGGCAGCCGAGTGCCCGCTGCCCCGGGGCAGGGCCGCGGGAGGAGAAGACCACCCCCTACCTGCGGAGTCGGACACGAATGCGCATTCAAGCCGCTCCGCAGCGTCCAGGCCGATCCGCGTTCAGCCGCTGCATCGGAAGCGGATCAGTTTCTGAAACGCTTGCTTGAAGTCTTCGTTGGACATGGTGTAGATGATGGGGTTGATGAGGGAGTTGAGATATCCGAGCCACGTGAAAAAGTCAAAGATGGCCATGTGGAACCAGCACGCGTCCTTGCAAATGGGCAGCACCAGGGAGATGATGAAGAAGGGCAGCCAGCAGACGATGAAGGCGCCCAGGATAATCCCCAGAGTCTTGGTGGCTTTCCGCTCCCTGGCAGCCGTGAGCTTCTTCTTCTCCAGCAGGGCGTCGGAGACCTTCACCTTGACCTGGTTCATGTACACGGGCGAGCCCGCGTCGCTGCCCGGCTCGGGGGCCTTGGAGTTGATGGAGGTGACGGACGAGGAGGAGCCGGGGGAGTCCGTGATGAGGTGCGCCCGGGTGAAGCGCTTGCCCGCTTTCTTGGGCGTCTGCTTCAGGATGCGGGAGCGGGCCTCCACGTAGATGCGGCCGTAGAGGGCGATGAGCAGCAGCGTGGGCAGGTAGAAGGCGCCCACCGTGGAGTAGACGGTGTAGAGGATGTGGTCCGTGTTCACCACGCAGTCCGACACCTCGTCCGCCTTGGCCTGGCGCCAGAAGAGCGGCGGCATGGAGATGGAGATGGAGAAGACCCAGACCAGCGCGATCATGCCGGCCGCCCGCCGGGGAGTCCTTTTGCTGGAGTAGCCCACGGCGTCCGTGATGGCCCAGTAGCGGTCCAGCGCGATGACGCAGAGGTGCAGGATGGAGGCCGTGCAACAGGTGATGTCCGAGGACAGCCACACGTCGCACACCACCTGGCCCAGCGTCCACTTGCCCGTCACGGTGTACACGGTGCTCACGGGCATGACCAGGATGGCCACCAGCAGGTCGGTGACGGCCAGCGAGGCGATGAGATAGTTGGCCGGCGTGTGCAGCTTCCTGGTGCGGGACACGGTGGCGATGACGAAGGCGTTGGACAGCATGGTGGCCAGCGTGAGCAGCGCCAGCGCGGCGGCCAGCACCACCTTGCCGCCCAGCGGCGTGCCCTCCTGGTAGGCGCCC